AGAATGTTCACAAATCTAGCTGTTTGGATTCGCCATCGAGAGAACCAGCAGAACTGAAGGCAGACAGAAATCAGAGTCTGCCTGCCCAAAAGAATTGTTGTTTATCTGAATCTGAGCCATATGAAATAAGTTGGCCTGTCCAAGGCCAACTTAGCTCATATGGCTCCTGGTGGATTTGTAATTCAACAAGCTCTGCTCTGTCCCCCACCCCCCGAGAACTTCTGTGAACGCTTATCAGAGATTCACCGGCTGACAGAAACTAACATCTTAGCAGGACTATGGAAAATATCTGTAAGTGTTCATAGACAAATCTCACAGTCTTGTCATCCGTGCATATGCATTGTGTCTATCTACATTGCTTGCTGTGGTAGATTTTTGTTGATGCCTTAACATGGGCCCTGTAAGGACATGGTGTGGCAGATCTTTTTTTATACCTCTCTCCTTATGTTTTTTTCCCCTTTTCTATCCAAGCAATAAGGGAAGCACTTCTTAAATAAGCTGCAGCCCCTGTACACTTCTGTCCATCTTTAGGATGGCTGTACAGAATGTTGTTGCACATCACTGTGCAATAACAATAAAGCTTATTCTGATTCTGAAGTTCATGACAAAACCCAATGCAGACATGTTCCTGTTTTTAGTATTTTACACTGCATTATAATGTAGCTGCTTTTGTTTAGTTTTTATTTCATTTCTTCTATTTACTTTTCATTTTATATGCTTTTTATATGATTGTCTATTGTTGTCTGTATCTGTGTTCTTTGTTTAAATCAGGTCTCATAAATGAGTCATCGAGGCTCAATGAGACTAACCTGTATAAATAAAGGTTGAATGAATGGAAAAGAAATCTCAAGTGCGTGGAGAGGTGTGTGCATGCATGTGTGTGTGCGCATGCGTATACAAGTGTGTGCACGTGTGCATGTCCGTGCATATGCGTTTTCCCCTCACTCTCGATGCTCTGCAAATTTGGGATTTTACTTCCAGAAAGATACTTTCAAGTCTGTTTCATGTAGCATGAATACTGTTTTTTCACCATGTCCTTCCACAGTTGACTTGTCTTATCATTAGGAGAGGGACACTGCCAGCACTGCCTGCTTTGTGATTTTCCTTTTTTATGCCCGTTCCAGTACTGCTTGTGTCAGAGCTGCAACACATTTTCAAATATCCCTTACACTAGTTGATGTGTTTCCTCATGGTTTGCTTCTCTCAATTTAGCTGTCTGACTCCATTTCTTCACCCGCCCTTTTTTGCATGCAAATGTGTTTGTTTTAGCGAAAACTCAAGCTATATGCTTATTGGGTAACATCCAGCACCCTGATGCTTGTGGTGCACTTTGACGTGACATTTAAAATTCATTCCCTATCAGAACAAATAGTATTTTCAAATCCAGATCAGGGTGTGTATCTGTATCGGTGGGAAGTTTATTCTGGTTATATACCCACCTCCACCCTTGGCCAGTGTTTGCATATTCCACCAAAGAGCTTATTATATTTCCCCACACCCCTCTGCATGTAAAGTACCCCCTGCCCTGCTAACATGACACCCTTGTGGTTCATTCACAGCTTTATATTCAGATTATTTGATAGTCTACTGGGTATGGGATTAAACTGCAAAACAAGCAAATAAATATGTCAAGGCTTAAATCTAACTCATGTGTTAACTTGAATTTTATTTTATTTTTTTTGCCCAAATTGCTAGTGGTTTAACAAGTCCTCAGTTTGACCCAAGAAGCAATTATTTAATATTTCATTGGTTGTTAACATTTTGTTAGCCTATGTTGAATAATAATTTTTATGTAACTCCAACAGACTGCAAAACACTGAAGAGAGATGTTATGTATTTCTGTACTGTATTTGCATCTTTTCTGGCTTATTTAGCCCCTGGAAATTCTTTTAATCTTATGACAGTTGGTTTTCCTTAGGGGGAAATTGATCACCTTCTGCTTAATTAAAAAAAAAAAAAAAAAAAAAAAAACCCCACGAAAAAAATCGTCAGTCCTTTAGAGCTATTTCAGCCTGAAGTTTTGCAGTTTAATCCCA